CAAATTTTCGGTCGCACATGGGGTCAAGCTACTATCCTTTTGCAAAGATCCATCGAAAAATTCTATGGAATTCCATGGGCTTTCCTCTCATACGCGTAATATAATTTTCTGTTACATCCTACTGTAATATACACGGCGCATTTTACTAAAGCCCCTCGGTTTAATGCGCCCAGCTCAATAACTGATCTACGCTAAGGTCTTGGCGGTGGGGCCAGGAAAGAGTTTCTCAGTGTATGTTAGTCAAGGCGATTTCGAGAATGACTATAAAAGGCGATGTTAGGCGGTACTATAATAGGAGCAGTATGATTACACAAAAGGTTATACTACTCCATTCCCGGTGTTCCTATTCAGGTCTTACTAGGCGGACTATATAAGTCATCTAGAGAAGTAGTCCCTTACAAAAAGGCCACCATTTTAGATAGATAATCAGAGCTTTATAAACATCGGAGCCTAAAACACTCCGAAACTATAATCCATTATCTTATTAAAGGTAATAGATTGTCATCTATCCTTCTATAATATTCGAGTGCTACTCTTTAATCTCCGACTCTACCTCCGCGATAGTCTAGATATAACTAGAGATCTATTTTTCGGCTATCTTAAGCTTATTCTTTAGACTAGAATTCTTATATTATAATTGCGAGAGCGTAGTTTTCTATTGAGATACGCAGAGCTCTGTAAGGTCATATAAACGAGGTTTACGTGACCGTACGGAGCTAGGTGCACGTCACCGCACTAGCGTGTATATAGTAGTCTAGTACTCCCAGTCTAATACAAACCATGCGATCCTTTCTGAATCACAAAAGCATCCAGTGGACTTGCAATCGTGTCGTTGGCAGGACGTGCAGCACAGCTCCGGAGGAACCCCTTCCCCCATGGCGTGGGCTATTACAGCCTCAATGCTGCTTCGGAATTGCCCAATTTAACTGTTGAATAGTTCGCCATTAACGATCTTCCTCTTGCTATCTCTCGTGTTGTCCTGCAACGCTGGCTCGCGAAGGAGCGGCATGGACATATATGGCTGAGCAGGGCTCCAGGCGCTTTCTGTTTTGTTCATGGCCCTCGCCCAAGGGCTACCTGGGCTCTTTTCGCCCAGTAGTCCGGGGGCTTGTCGGGTCCCCGAAGAGTCCATATACCGGGTCTGGATGACTGACCCTTTGCTTCATTCGCCGGGGAGAGAGGTAGTCTTGGCAAGGCACAGCCACGGATCTGCACGTTCTTGGAACGGCCATGGCAGAAGTGTACCCAGTGGTAGTGTCAATGCTGCAGTACGAGGGATATTGACAGACTATCCCCAGACGGGCACTGGGATATCATGATCCGTTCATGAAGGAGTCGGGCTCCTTCGAACTGCGGTACTGCCCACCAGGAACTGAAGAGCTGCGTTCATTAGCCTCAAGTGCCCACTAAAGGGGTACACCATAAGATGACTTACTGGTTCCGTATTCACCGTGTATTTCCTCCTCTTCGTCCGCTGTGATAGCCCCTTTCTTTTTCCAAATAGACAATTGATTATACCACCAGGGTTGTATGGAGTTGTGAATCGGCGTAGGTAGGGAGTACTCTTAGCACGCCCTTCGTGCTATCGTACGTCTTACCAGTAGTGCTAAGATTAGTGAGACTGTATATGGAAGTAGGCATAGATTCTAGGACCAGTCACCGAGTTCGATCTCGCAATGGCTGAGCCGGCTTTCGCAAGTTCTTTAGGCGGTGTCGGAGCATTTGACACAAATAGTAGACATGGGTCATCACTCAACGAATATACTAGAGCATTAGGAGCATACTGTACAGAGGATCTTCTCTATATAGAGCCAGGGACAAAAAAAGGAAAGAAGAATTGGAAAAAGTAGACTCCGATAGGGGGAATCGAACCCCCGGCTGCCGTGTGAGAGACGGCGATGTTAGCCACTACACCATATCGGAAGGGGACGGCGAATTACTCTTTTTAGTTTAGTTTGTCGGCTTATAGTTTAGCGCTATTTGTCCTTGTGCGTTCCCGTGCGTGGTTCTATAAAAGCCTCCCTCCCCCCCTGTATGTTCGTCGTTTCTTACCTGCTTCTAAGGTTGATCTGGTGAGGCATTTTTCTACTTCATCCGGATCACCGAGCTCCGCTACATGCGTTGCTCTCGGCGCAACTAGTCAGACCCCTCAAAGCAATTTGCACTGCTTTCAGTCGTTCTTCCCTATTTCCGTTGCTCCGATTAGTACGATTGATTTGAGGCAATTTTGCCTTTAGCCCGTTGCGCCGACCTAGATGTGCTTATATGCCGATCGAAATTGTCGCGTTTAGGAAAACGCCTTACGTAGCGGGTCCCTAAAATCTGCCTTAAGGTTAGAACACTAACAATGAATGTATTACTCGATTAGATTCGCCTAGTTTTCGTTTATAATGCTCGCAACTATATGTTCTAAGATTGGTCAGTCAATACCAGCGCGGTCTTCAACGTCCGAAAGTTAGCACTCGATCTACACACTGTACTATCGCTCGGTCGCGTCTAGATATCTACGCCTAACCTACTATCAAGATGCCTTGCTAGAACGTTCGTCGCCTCGCGGTCAGATGGTATACAATATAAGATCGTCGTATGAAAAGCCCGAGGTTGCCTTATAGCAGCAGGATTCTACGCGTTTCGTCTTTTTATCTTAGGCCATATAACGATTAGTAGGCGCAGTATTATCAAGCCGGTGATGACAGCAGCGGCCATAGGCGGTATAAAGAGATACCGCAATAGGATCCTACGCGTTTCGTCTTTTGTCTCAGGTCACGGAACGATTGGTAGGCGCAGCACTACCAACCCTTTTGCCCTTGGCCCGTTGCGCCGACCTAGATCTGCTTATATACCGATAGAAATTGTTAGGTCTAGAAAACCACCCCAAAATCTGCCTCGAGATTAGAACACCGAACAATAAATGCACTACTCGATTAGTTCGCCTAGTTTTCATTCGTGATGCTGGCACCTATAGGTTCCACGATCGGTTAGTCAAGATTAGCGCGGCCTTTAAAGTCCGAAAGTTGCGACTCGATCTACACACCGTACTATCGCTCGGTCGTTTCTAGATATCTACGCCTGACCTACTGTCATGACGCCTTGCTGGAATGCTCGTCGCCTCGCGGTCAATTGACATATGAAACAAGATCGTCGTATGAAAAACGGGGTTGCCTTACAGCAATAGGATCCTACGCGTTTCGTCTTTTGTCTAAGGCCACGGAACGATTGGCAGGCGTAGCACTACCAACCTCGCGATGATAGCAGCGGCCATAAGCGGCATAAAGAGATGCAATCCCTAAAAATAGCACGATATAGTCATTGGAACAGATGGAGAGTAGCCTTTGCAGTGGCCAAGCGATTAGTAGGGAGGCTTTATTCGGTCAAACCTCTGCCGCGGAACTTGTGCTCCACTTCCAGGTCGAATAATGCGCAATCGATCAGTAGAGAGGTATAAAGCCAGGACGTGCGAGCACAGAATTCGAGCATTCAAACTCCTTTCCCCACTCTGGTTAGTATGGGGCCCTCTACGAACAACACACGTGAAGCATTCGGTGAGTTCTCTATAGAAATGATTGCGTTGACTACGCTAACGTGAGATCGTTAATCTCCACAGAGCATCCTGACTGGCCTACGGTCGTTCTAGCCGATTCCTCGGGCCCGGGCACGGAGACCAATCCTATCATGATTGAGGACGATAATGCTCCAATAGGATCGGAATTCAACCCTACTATGATCCATGAAGAGGGCTATGGCTACTTCGAGGGTGAGCAGCCCAACTCTGATACGGACACCAATATTATCATAGCCACGCTAGAGTCCTGATGGGACAAACTGTTCTGCGAAAGCTGTGATCTCCTAGTGAACGAGGCTACTAATATCGACACTGAGGTTTTGGCTACACTAAAGTCCTGGTGGGATATGTTAATTGATGAATCTACCCCCGCGGACGAGGGTACGGTCGTTGGTTCGACCTCTATCTAAATGCCGACTAAATCACCTGCCTGCGAAGACCTATCTATAAACCATCTTCACTTAGATGATGATGTACCTGGCCATGAGGATGGAAAGGATGGACAAGGTCAGTTTTTGATCATACCTTTTGCCCTTCTTTACTAACGAGACTTAGAAAGCGACCAAAGCAGCAATAATGGCGACGAGGCTTTGAAACTGCAGACTATAACCACTAACCACTCTGTTTCACAGGGAGAACCGACTTTTGGTCAAGATTCGGCACGTGACAGCCACGAGTTGGGAACGAAGAAACGCCAACTGTTGTATGAAGAAGGAAACAAAGTCAGACAATCACAGCATTTAGTAAAAAGACCTAGATACGCGGGACTATCTTGATGATTGCTTATTGAATATTGATTTTTGCCGGGAATGTTATTCTCCCACTGTGATTCTCGTTCTGAAAAACTTCGCTTTTGTCAAGCGACTTCATTGCATTGCGTACTCAGCGCATACCTTTTATCACTTCTTTAGAGATTTGCTATATTTTCCTGTGATGTTTTGTTACCGTGTGGCTCCTTATATTTCAAAAAGCGGAGGAAGCTGAGTATATTTCACGTATAGTCAAAGTTCAAGAAATCAAATATATATCAAAGGATAACCAAGAACCGGTCAAAGTAAGGCCAAGAGCAAGCTATCAAACAAAATATGAAAAGCAAAGATACCCTATCAACTTCTTAGCTCGTTAAAGAAAAACCATATGGCACTTTGCCATATGACCTTTATAACACGAAAAAGAGACATCGAATCACCTTTGATCTAGGAATATCTCATAGGCGACCTTGGCCAGCAAAGGATTCTAACAGTTTGTGAGTTTTGAAATGAGCCTGGAGGGCATCCTTTCGTGAATAATCTTGCTTGTGGATGTAAATCAGTACTTGCCATTTCAGCCTCCATGGCTCTTATTTTCTTGTCAACCGTACACTGATCGGACCAAAAAACACGGGCCCAATCCCTAGGTGTAAAGTGCTAATAGCGTAAGGCCCATCGAAGACGTTTTAGGGCATTTTTCTCAGTTAAATAGGGTCTCTAGCTACATCGCTACTTTCGGAGGTTTTCAGCATTTAGTAGGCATCTAATTGAGTTAATTTTCACTTTATAAGATACCTTAGCAAGAAGATCTTCGTGTGTAAGGCGATGGTTTTCCTTAACAGCATCGAGAAGACGTACTTTGTCGTTCTCATTTAGCTTTTTTGGTCTTCCAGAACGAGGCCTCGACACGCCAGAACGCCTTTCGTGCTCTTCTTTGATTACATAGCAGATTGTAGAGAGAGAAATCCATAGATATTGACAGAAATCCAGGTATGGCGAGCGTACTGGTAAAATTCACAATGGTATGATTCTCTAACTAAAATAATAACTGTCCGAATTTGACAATCTGGCTGGACATAAACTATAAGCAAAACGCATAATCAAAGGGTCACATGTTTCAGCGGTAAAAAGACCGGATAATCAATGTAACATCTTGTTTCTTGACAGATATCTCTGATGAACTCGTCTATAACCCCATTGGGCAGCTGAATGAAGCTCACAGATCCTCTCACGGAGGGCTAGAGTGAGTTCTGAGCGAGCAGGCATATAAAGAAGAGAGAAAGAAGTATATAAAGAAGAAAGAGAGTAGGAAATGGTATAAAAAACGCGAGAGATACGCAATATAGATAAATTCTATTAGCGCGTACTATATGGCGGTGTAGATTATATAGGAAGGCGGTATATAGGTGCTATAGGTGCTGTTAAGACTTTTGCATAGTCACTATATATTAATTACCCGGTCTTTTTCACCGCTAAAACATATAACTTTTCGACTATACGTTTTACCTATTAATTATGTCCGACTAGATTGTCAGATTCGGACCTTTATTATTTTAGTTAGGGTTCTTAGATGTTAGCTAGGTATATAGTGCCTTTACGCTAATATAAGTACAGCGCCCTTCCTAACTCTTATATTCTCACTATAAGTGACGTTAGCCATACTCGAGATGACGTAGCGTTAAGGTATTCTAACCAGATAAGCCTCCGTGCTACGTAGTCTATCCCACAGATTCGCGGCTATCGGTAAGGTCGGAGTAAGTTATTATACGTAGGCGAGAGGAGAACGATTCACTATTCGGCGATCGGAGCAATTAAAATAGGGTGGCCCGGCTCGGTCCGAGGGCTCGGAATAGAGCCCAGGAAATCGGGCACTAATGGTATGCGGCCTTGGCCTCCTCTCTAATTTTCCAGTCTGGCTAACTTACCCCTCTCCTAATATATTCTCTCCCTACTTTTCCAACTTGGCTAATTTTCCCCTCCTACTATATTTCCTCTCCCCCTAGGCCAGTGGGCTACGTAGGTATGGCCATGCTTTTCTAGATCGCCTGAAGCCGCCGTGGGTCGTGGGCGATTCACCAGGTGGGTCCGACGGAGCAACGCTGTTGTATTTGTCTTGATCGCCTACTTATGGTAAACCCCAAACCCTCCATATATTACATTTGTAGAAACAAAAAACGTCTCTCAAGACGTAAGCTGTGCTGAGCCCTTTCTCTTTAAAATAAGCAGCTTATATTTGTATAAATATCAGAAGTCGGACTTCCATATTTCTAGACAAGACCTAAGACGAAGGCCATCTTTTCTTACGCCTTATAGAGAGGTGGCGTTTGGCTCGCTTTCTTGATCCAAAAAATCTTCAGTGAGGCCTATATTAGACCACATAATATCTGATCCCAGGTTCCATGCTCCCAGACAAATTATTTTGCTCCCAGAAGTAGTAACAAGGGCTCTCACCACTTCTCGTATACGATTGGATCAAACATTCACGGAAGTTTCAGCTCAGCCCGGCCAATAGTCCCACTTGACTACTTGCCCACACAGACATAAAAGTCATACTTCAAGTTCCGACAGTCACTGCCAACATCCGGGTTCCAGGCCAGGAAATCACCCAGGGAGATACTGTTGTCGTCGGCAATTTGCTGACAGCCCTTATCCCGCGCGACTTTGTGGCACTTATTGCATCCATCAGCCATACCAGTCTGGGTTGGGGTGGGAGTGACAACGCTAGTACTGGTTGGTGTCACTGGTGTCGAGGACTAGTGCGGCAACATGTTCTTTATCTTTTCTTCTAATTAGGGTCTGCAAGATCTTCTTCCGTCAATTGATAGAGTTCCTTCCCCAACTCCCCGCTGACTCGATATTTGTCCCCCACAACAGAGTTTTCGAGTAATTCGCTGTCCATCCATTTACTTGTAACACCAAATAGATCGTCAATCTCGGGATCCAGACGGCCCTCGCGAACAACGTTTCGAAAGCCATCCAAATAAAGCAGCCGCAGACTTCCAGACTGGAAAGCTTCCTGGTCTGCAAGGATTAGGTACGTCCTCGTGGAAAGTTTGTGTAATCTCATCGCAAGGCTCTCAATAATTGCATCTCGGCCCTCGCGCCATTCCTTGGGGTTTCGTTCTTTCGCTTCGGCAAGTTGGGTTTTGAAATCATGACGTATACTATCAAAATACTCCGGGTCACGGAATCGCGGTATCCATTTATCTTCAGTCTCAGGAGAAAGTGGACCAGCGACTTCGGGAAGAACTTCATATATACGCCGCCAGTCCGACCCAAAGTTAAAGTGATCCGCGTTATCAAGGACAGCCCACCAGGATTCTGCTTCAAATGGGTCCATGTCGACCCAAGTATTCATCAATTCGTCGTGTTCAGCTCGCTCGCCTTCTTCGGTGCTGTAGTATGTTCGCAGTAAAACAGGGGATGTGTGGTCGTGGAACATATTACCTGCGCGCCATCGAAGGGCATCAACACGGTAAGGTCGAAGAATAGTATCGATTTCCTCCGACGTAGGCGCACGAGGCGGATCTGGAAGACTTTCCCAATCTTCTACCCATTCAATCGGAATAAGGTTCAGGTCGAGAAACTCAGCTACTAGTCTTGTTCGCTGCTGATCGGGGGTTTCGGTCGAGGAGTAATTCCAGTTTGTCTGTGCGGGGGTTAGTAAAATGCTTGCCAATAAGTTGAGGGCCAAGATACAATGAAGTATTGTTCAACAGCCAGTGTGCCCCAAGGGGGACCAGTCATGTCCTCCATGACGAAGATAGGCTGAGAAGCCTGTAGAGAAGAGGACAAGGGGAGATGCGAGAGACGCAGGGGAGAGTTAGTGTTAGCGGGGCAATGCTCAGACCTAAGTGTGAGCTGGCGCACACCCTTTATTTACAGCTAGAATATGAGAACCTGTGGGATTGACGCCGAAAATGACCGCTTTTGAGGCCAGAAACGGCTGCCTTTCTACCCGTAACTTTGGACGTCCAGCCGCCCCCTTGACCGCCCACTGCCCTGTAACACCACTATTCTATACCCGCCTAGCACTTTTAGTCATCCTCCGGTCCTAATGTTGACGCTCGACTTATACACAGTCGGTGGACATAAGTATTTGCATCGCCTGTGGACCCACCCAGCTGACCGCCCCTATATATCCATACCGCCTACCTAAAACGCGTAGTATACCTGATCTCCTGCATATAGGGAACAATGACACTACAAAGGCTATTAAGTTGTTAAATGTGATAAAATTATTTGATAATATCATATTTTAATAATGGTTCTCTAGGTTCTATGCTTGATTTACACTATGCGACTGTAGGGAAGAGGTATTAAGTGAAGTAGAAGTAATCAGTCTATATTATGGTAGAAATATAACTATATTGTATAGATATAAATACGTTTGATATTCCGTATAAGAAATGTATTTTTTTTCAAAACATCTTTAATTTAGATATAAGGTAGATTTGTTTTATATTAGGAAGATGAGAGAATTCTATTCAAACTATTCATACTCTTGACAAGGTCTTGATAAGTTCCGTAGCCCCTAGGCAATTTTGGTGCTGCGATATGGTGTGGGACTAAGTAAACTAGACCCGGGTCAGAAAATTGAGGTTTAGCTAGGAGGATAGCGTAGACGTAGACCACGAATTGGGGGGTGCCAGCGGCACGTGACCATGTGGGTCACCTGATCAACCACGCTGGGGGTAACACGGAGGGAGTACACTGGCGTTATAGCCGCGGAGGCATCAAGTTACAAATTATAGACTTCACGTGATGGATGAAACACAAGGTTGACATTGTAACTCGACTGGTACATTGAATAAACTTGTCCCGCGATCACCAGTGGAGCCTACTGCACAACATGATATCGATATCGTCCGGTTCACGAAGTTAGCTGGGGAGGCAAGATCTCATGGCAAAGGAGTGAGTCCAACGAGATTGAGACCCGTTTTCGTTGTGATCTCTCGGAGGGAAGCAATGTCAAATTCAAGCCGATCACTGCCCTGGGAGCTTGAGGCAATTGCGCCGTTAAGAAGGTCGTCTTTGGTGAGATAAATGGGCCGTTCAAACGGCCCATGAACCGGGAAAATTCGGTTGCCCCAGATCATGTATGCACTGCCTGTAGAATTTCGTCCCCAGAGTTCGATTGTTCCAGCAACACATTGTCTGCGCTGGAAAAATTTCACAAGAAGAACCTTACGCACACTCGCCCCCACTCCTTCCAACCAAAGTTTCGCATCTTCAACGAGACTTAAATATGTCTGACTGAAGCCAACCTCAATAACGATCCTTGGTTCATGTAAGCTGGGACTTCCGAAATAAGAGATGAAGGTATCGGGTTCTTTTTGATCACCGGTGTATGGAGGGTTGCTGGCAGTAACTCGCGGGCTTGCTGTTACCATAACGTTGAGATGTTCAGCAGGTGTCAGTTGACCGTTGATGTGCCAACGGGTCAGCTGTTGGCCAAACCACGCAAGCGGGGCTTCGTGGGTATAATTTGGCATTTTCAGTGTTAGAACTTTCCTCTGGGAGAACAATCCTTTCCGAACACGGGGGTACTTTGCGTCGATAAGTTTTAAAAGATCAATTGCAATGTCATAATCCACCGAGGTAAGGACAACAAACGAGTAGACAGACTGGTTGAAGAATCCACTGCCGTGGATTATCGCCAATGCCTCGTCGGCAGATTTAATTTTGTCAAGGGAGATTTCTTTGTCAAGGGCATATTCTTCACTGTCGCATGACTGTTGGGAAATCCCGCTATTGGCTGGCGTGGAATCGAGTGGTGAAGACATGATGTGCAAGAGAAAAGGAGGGGGGTGCTTTGTTGAACATGGAAAGTGCAAGTATGGAAGTCGCGAAGTCAAGTACAAATGTGACACGTGATCAAGGCGGAGAAGCATCAAGCCGGGGACGAAAAAGAGCTCGTTCCTTGACTATCACTACTGGATCTCTCATTCAGCTCAGAGCTGTTGCCTACTATTTTAATTTAATTCACTAGCTTCTTTTTAGTTTCTCATAATGACTGTCGTTGCTAGACTGCGACATTGCCCGTCCACGGTGGGCGGTGGGCAATTTGTATTTTCTATATGCCCGCCGAATGTAGGTACATTTTCGACAGTTAGTTTGGCGGTTTTGCAATTAATAAATATTATATCGATACAGGCGTGGTATACGAGCTCAGACGAGGAGTCCGTGTAATTTTATCTATTTTATTAGATTTTTTTTTCGGGGGGGGAGAGAGTTTGAAAGTATCAACCTGGATGGGAAGGTTTGGTCGAAAATTCCCGAAACGGAAATTTTGGTCCAAAATGCAGGACATCACATCTGCATTTTGGACTATTATAAAACCTGTATTTTAGACTATAGTAGATTCCTACGGTTTGGCTATATAAGAACCCTGGTTAGAGCTGCTAATTTATAAATTAATATTATATAGATATAATTTCTGACCCTGGTCAGAAAATCCACTTACTAAGTACAGTAGTGGCGATAATACTAGGAGATTTTATCACGATGGTCGGAAATGCAGCAGTTGGAGGTGGTCCAAAATGTAGAACACTATTCTGCATTTCGGACTATCCTCAACTCCTACATTTTAGACTATCTATAAAACCTGCATTTCAGACTATAGTCGATTACTGCACTTTAGACCATCCTCAACTCCTGCATTTCAGACCATGGTGGATTCCTACGGTTTGGCTATATAATAAATCCTGGTTGGAGTTCCTAATCAATTAAATGCTACCACACAACTACAATTCTGACCTCGGTCATCCAGGTCCGCACAGATTGTTGAAATAGCGGATTTTATCATTTTAGAGAGTTAGAATTTCGTATCTACCATTTTATACCATACCTTTCATTACGGCCAGATTTCTATCAAAAAATACTATTTACAGGTAAACCCCCAGTAGTATCTATATACCAATTTCCACCATTATCTCATTGCAGCGGAGGCAATTCAGATTGTCTAATCTAAACGAGATCCCCCAAATCATGGAATAGGCCTTCAGCCGCAAGACGTTGACTTGAGCCTAAGTGGGATTCTTTTTGGAAAAGCCATTCAAAGCAGTACATACAGTTGACGGAAGAAGGCCTATAGCGAAGAAATTAGACGCAGCCTAGCAAATACATTCTTCTGTTGCCTAACTATATCTTTGATTAACACATCCTATCTCACTAAAATACTCAAACTATTCTGTTTCAGTGTAGAGGATCGTAGAGGTTACGTGACGGCGTATTGGGGAGCTAAACCTCAAAAGGCAAAACTAACCAGAAAAGGTAATTCACAAGTCCGCCGTTTACAAAACATACGCAAGTATACAGTGGCGCCCATAGATTGGGTTGGGTTTTGGGTTTCGTGGGTTTTGGCGCAGCCTAAACTCGCGTACGATCTATATAGTATTAGGCCTTGACAAGTGCAGCGGTACTGGTGCATTGGCTGCACCAAGGCCTTAGTTCGGTGCAGTTGTACGTGGGGCCGACTGCAGCGGTACTTTGGCTGCAGTGCAGCTGCACTATAAACAATACAGACATTGCCTAATTCGGCTTATCCCGTGACTTATATATGTAATTTATGTAAATTACGGCGTTGTTAGTTACCAGATCGGCGGTATCAAGCCGAATGGGGTAATTTCTTGGCAAAATCTGGCCTTGGCAGCACCTGGCTGCACTGCCAAGAGGTGCAGCTGCACCAGGGTTCGCTGCACCGGGCAATTGCACCA